GACGGATGTAAATGTCAATTATTCAACTAGTGTTACTCTAATTTGCACTTGATGAAGATAATATTTATATAATACAGTTTAAGTGGTTCAACATGGTATTAGAGTACACAAAGACCCCGACAATGGGCCAAAAATTTGTCGCACTAAAATCTCTCAAGTGGATGGTATCGTAAATAAGTAATAATTAAACGTTAATTCAAGCTTCAATTCCACGAAGATTAAGTATCTAATCTAATTGAACTTGATATCAATTCTGTATTTCGATAATATTTATTTGAACTTGAAGATAAATGTTTCAATTTTATAGAATAATCTTTTCCGAGTAAAATTAAATATATAATCACATATGACCTAAGTATCCCTATCTCAAACTCGAACATATGAAGATATATTAAACCATAAAAATATTTTTAAAAACTATACAAATCATGGACAGTTATTTCGAACGTCTATAAGACTTTATATTAATTGTTACCATGAGCTATCTTTCATATTCCTTCTCCAAAATATCAATAAAATTCATATATCAACTCAATTAACTGACTAGTAATTGAAAAGAATTAAGAACATAAATAGCATTCTTTTTTTTTTTTTTTGGGTAATGATTTTGAGAATTGATTTTTGTTGTATCTTTCCCATCAAATTTGACCAAAGGTACCCACTATTTGCAGATGCAACAAAAATTTACTAATTCTCAATTTTCCATCCATAACCAGTCAAGATAGAAACATATAATAAGGAAAGACGATGAAGTGTGATTGTGAATATACAAATTCACCTGACAACTATCTAGAAGTTACTTTTTCTTGAAGAAGGCCTACCCAACTTTTTCTTGAGTTCTTTGAAGTTAACGTAACCGTAGCCGTCAACATCGACGGATCTGATCATTCGTCGGCACTTCTCAAGGCTAAAGTTCTCACCGATGTCCTTGAGTATCGAGTGCAACTCAGTCGCCGATATTTTCCTGTTCCTGTCCTTGTCGCCACAGAAGATCGCCTTGAACTCTTCAATATCAACGGAATCATCGCCGTCTGTGCCTAATACGAACGTTATGCGCTTCAATTCGTCCTCTCCAATTTTCGAGCCGCGCGCCTTCAAAGTTTCGCCGAGTTCTGATGACGAGATTTTGTGATTTCCATTGATGTCGAATTTCGAGGATATCGCTGTTGACAAAATCGATTGCTGTTTCGAGTTTTTCTCCATCGTTACAGAGAATTTTAATGAATGAAACGCAGGGAGTTTTTCTAGGGTTGCGGTGAGTATTTATAGTGACGGGTTACGTAGTTTCGTACGCGAAGTGTCACGCGCTCCAATTGCGAGGGTTCATTGAAGTTACGTTTTCGTTAAAGAGCAAAGATCCAGTGGAATGCGTCCATCTAAATTAAGTAGCCACATATGGAAATTAATATAAAAATATCAAAATATAGGATCCATTGTTATCCTAACATCTATACGATTAGTCAAACATCATATGAATGCAAAAACTAGATTTGGAACGATATAACATACTCGGAATTAAAGATTGGGGAGAAGGATTTAAAGCAATCTTAAATCTTGAATCCGTTCAATGGCTCTTGATATCTTCTTCCTCTTCTTCAACATAAGCAAAGATGTATGAAATTATGTTGAAATATAAGTTTTGTATCAAACTTCTATAAAGCTTCTAAAGAACATATTTTCTTCTATCAATGGCTTCTCTTTTTTGCTCCCATCTTTGTTATCCAAAAGCCTCTCTAAGCTTGCCCCTTGAATTATAAATGTGTATATATATATATTTATATGCCCAAAACTGGGTCAAAATTCGTGCCCTAATTTCTTTTCCAAAAAGAAGTTGTATCAAAATAGAAAAAAAATATATTTTTTATCAACGGGCTTTTAGTTGCAATCGTATAATAGACAATTTGAGCATGTAGGTGTGTATTTTAGTAGCCTTGCGATTGCAGCCATCCAAGCTTGCGATCCACAAGCTTCATAGTTCTTTTCCAAGTTCAACTTTGTCTCTGAATATCATTTTTTCCAATTCGAATCTTTTTTTATTTTCACCATGGATTATTCATCTTCCAATTCTTTAACTTGGATCTTCGCTCTAAAAAATCATTCATAATTAACCAGATGCAAGTTTCAAAAGTTTGCAATTAAATCCCCAAACTTTTCAAATTTTGGATATAGCTCCCGACACTTGTGAATCTCCTTCAATTGCTCTCTCTCTCTCTCTCTTAATTCTTCATTTTTTTTTTTATAATTAAAATATTTACACTAAATTTGGTAGAGAACCACTCAATTAACCATAATCCATTAAGTTAAGAAGTTTGAAAACACACTTATAAAATACCCCAAAACTTAAACCCTTATACATCATGTACAAGACTATTTACTCAACACAAGTAAATGTAAAGAAAACTAATGCATTAGATAATCTTACCGAAGTAGTGAAATTGTTGGACAATTTATAAATAAGTTCACAAGTAATGCTATCAAACTCTAATTAGATAACACAATGAAGATAAGATATATTAATTAACTAAAACTAACTAACTAATCTAACTATTAAACTAGCAAATTTTGAAGCCTTTATCAATATTCAATTAATTGCATGTACTAAAACTTTGAATCCATCTATATTCTTCCATCTAAATATTAATCCCATAATTCGACAATGTTTACTTGGATTGAGATCAATGTTCTTATTTTATTTAATTTCACTCAAAAGTTGAATTAAATTTATCCTCACATTTAACTCAAAATGTACCTATCCCGAATGCAAAAATAAGAAGATACATTAAGCCTCTGTTTGATAACTATTACTTTGGAAAAAAAAATTTGAATAATGATTTTTATGAGTATGATTAAAAAGTAAATTTTTTTTTAAATTCACGTGCAGAATATTCTATTGTATAGATTTGTTATTGAAAATGAGTATATAAAAAAAAAGTTTGAAAATAATGATTGTCAAACAAAGGCTAAACCAAGAACATCCAAAGAAATCATGCAAAGCATATATGATTATTTCTATCCTCTACAGGACCTTATAATGATTGTCACCATGTGCTATCGATTTTGGTTCATATTTTTTATTTTGGAACCAGAACGAAACCTCCAATTTCGGTTCGGGAGGTTTGTTTCCGATTAAAATGCTCACTCTTAGTTCATCTATCAATTGCTTCTCCTTTTTTGCTTTCGCCTTTGTAAGAATTTTATATTTTTTTACCTTCTCTCTAATTTTACCCCGTGAATTGTATTCATAGGTCGAAAATTACGTCAAAACTCGTGCTCTAATTTCTATTCAAGAAGCAATTGAATCAAAATAGGAACAAAAGTTTTCCTGGCCATTATTATCACGTGATTGCACGGGCTTTATAACTGTTATTCAAGAAGCAACTGAATCAAAATAGAACAAAAGATTTTCTGGCTATTATTACTATGCGATCGCATGATGGATACTTTGAACATGAGTGTTTGAATTTCAATAGCCTTGCGATCGTAGCCATCCAAGTTTGTGATCTTATGCTTCAAAGCTTTGTCCAAAGTTTCAACTCTTTCCTTGAGTTTCACTTTTTGTTCAGCCTGAGTCCCTTTTATTTTCACCATGGGTCCTTCATCTTCCAATTCTTTACACTTCGATCCTCATTCTCTATAATTATCATAATCGATCTGATGCAAGTTTTGAAAATTTGAAATTAAGTCCTCAAACATTCCAAATTTGGATTTGGCTTCCAAAAATTGTAATATCTTCCAATTTCTCTCTTAATTTTTCATATTGATCAAATAAAGCCTAGTTGATCTTCAATTGCTTCGAATCAACTCTAATTAATTTCCAAACCTTTCTTCACTCTAAATGCATCAAAGTTGGAATTTTCCTACAATTAATATATTTACACTAAGCTCCAATTTCTCATTCATTCAATTATTATTCTTGGCAAGTAAATCTATTAACTTTGATCTTCCAAAATGAACGAACTCAAAATTATACCAAAACCAGCTATATATGCTATTTTTAACACTTTTAAATGAAGTGGTTCAATGACACCAATATTTATTATTTATAAAGTTATTTAAGAATTGAACTATTCAAATACTCTGATACCATTTTAGACTCTAGAATAATGTCAAATGAGATTGATACATTAAATAAATATAAATATATTAAGCCCTTGTTTGAGCTCCATTTTTGGGCCAAAATGTATTTTAGAATGAGAAAATTTCATAAGTAAGAGATTAAGTATGACATATTTTAAAATTAAGAAAATAAGTTTCAAATTTCAAAAATCAAATTTTTATTAAAATTTACTTATTATTAAATTAATTAAATAAATATTTTGTTAATTAAAGATATTTAAGTCACATATCTATATAATTTGGTCACAAATTAACAATTTAATTAATCACTTATTAATTTTTGGTTACAAATCTAAAATTTTATATCACAAATTATTTTACGATCACAATTCAAAAAATTTGTAAGTCACAGTTTGTTCATCGGTCACAAATAAAATAAGTACTTAGTCATGAATTAATTTTTAGTCACAATTTATCAAATTATTGTTCACAACTTACTTTTCGATCACAAATCAAAAAATTTAAGGTCACAAATTGTGTTTATGATCACAATTCAAAAGTTTTGTACGCCACGATTTGTTTGTCGATCACAGATAAAAATTTATATGTTACAAGTTATTTATAAGTCACAGATCACAAATATTATAGGTCACAGATTATTTTTTCTAGGCCACACACTATTCTTGGTCACAATTTATCTTTTTAGAGGTCACATATTGTTTATTAGTCACAGATTTATCAATTTAATGGTCACAATCAATCAAATAATTTGTGACCACCACCAAACCTCCACTACCTTCATAGCACCACCGTCACAGCCTGAACCACCACCACTATAATTGACAGCAACACTATTGTCTCAAACAAAAAATCAACTCCAACATTATCACCGCCACTGTGACAACCACACCAACACCATTGTCACCGCCGCAGCACCACAACCATCTCACCATCACGGTAGATCAACAACAGAACTCCACAAATCCACCACACCACCGTTCCCACAACCACCACAGAACCATTCCCACAACCACCACAGAACCGTTCCCACAAATCCACACAACCACCATTCCCACCATAGAACCGCACGCCTCCACTACCACCGCTCATCACCACTCACCCAACCATCACATCATCGTCGCACATGCAACAACCCAGTACGACAGTACCCTATTACCACTACAATCCACACTACACCACCACCACTTCCAACGAAACCACTGCATTGTCCCACTCCACAGAATCGAAGCGGTTGCAAACCACCGCTTCACATCCCCGCCCTTCCAAATTCACCACTGCCGTGCAATCAATCCCCATATCACCTCCACTACTTCACATCACGACGAATCAAGGCGGTTGCAAACCACCTCTTCACATCGTTGCCAGATCGCTTCAACCGCTGAGCAAGGGACTTGCACCAACCACATCTTCACATTGCGACGGGGTTGGATTGGTACATTGCCGAATTTTGTAGTCGGGAGAAGGGTTGATGTAGGGAGAGAGAGACATATGACAGCGTCTTGGGTAGAGAGAGAATGAAGAAGTGTTTATAAAGATGATTAGGGTTTGTAATGTGTATATAATGGAGTATATTAGTAAAATATTTATTTTATAAAAATATTGATTAAAATAATATTTATGATTATTGAAATATGAAACTTTGAATCTGATTTTAGAAGGTTGAATCGTTAAAGTATGATTTTGTGTAATTTTCACTTTTACAATAGTGTTTTGTTGAAGAATGTGTTGTTAAAAAATAAGAAAAATTTTGAGTTTATTGTGTAAAATTATTTTATACGAGATATATGGTTGAAAATGAGTTTTTGAAAAAATGGGAGCCAAACATATGATAAATTCCTCTCTTTGAACCTTCCTCAAAATATGTTTATTAGCCATTTTCTTTTCAAAACTTTAGGTTATTATTTGATTGGAATATCATGTTGTTTTGCGCGGGTTCGTCGCTAACAATTAAAAAGGGATCAAACGATTGTATAAGGGACAAATCTCATGAGACAAAGTTCCAAAAAGGGGTGTTCTTTATTGGCAATGAATTTACAATCGGAAAGTAAAAACAGAATGCCTCCAAGGAGTCAAGCACACGAGTTACTGAAAGAAGTGTTTAAATCTAAACTAAGAAATTTAAAGTT